CTTTTGATTGAGATCATGAACCGACTGATGTTAGACTACCTATAGTGGGACTCCTCAGCAGTGCATATTTTGGATCCTACTCACGGGATGACTATGGACTGAACTAGATATGTTATATCTACGAATAATTCCATCCAGACAAAGTAGTATCTTATGGATTAGATCACTTGGTTTTCAAAAAGTAGATTACAAATTCGAATCCCTTCGCCCATCCAATTCAGTTCTGGTTAAAAATTTTACCTGATAAGAACTTCAGCTAATCAATGTTTATTGATAGGTGTACATCTTGAGAGAATATTTTCGATATTAAGGTTTAGTCATAATTTGATATTAGATTTGGATATACTGCTTAGTAGTTAAGTGTGGAACTCGAGTTTCATTAAGCATATTACTTGTCATCTGGTTGTATGAACTAAATAGCTAAGCAAATAACACATTGAATTTGAGAACAGAAAGTTTCTGGTTTTCAACCTCAATATGTTCATCAGCACTGGAATGCATGTACATACAACTGATGAGACAAATAAAACTAAATCCGTATCGTATATTCATCCAGTATCAAAATTTGATGGAAGAAGGGTTGTTTTTCTTCAATCCTTTTCCCTGATAGAATTTCATTAATCATATTACAATAAACTCACCAAAAATTTTTATATTTCACTATAAAAGTATCCAGGAAGAATGAAATCTCAGTTTTAAACGAATTAATAGTTGTTTGTCAGCAAAGTGTATCAATAATCTGAACACATTGTTAGATGGTGTTACATATTTTAAGGTTTTTGATTGAGATTATGAACCGGTTGATGTTAGACTACTGTTAGAAACTTGGAAGCACTGGATGGCCATTTCGTTCTATTGTAGGACTCCTCAGGAGTGCTCATCCATAATCCCGCTCGTGGGATTCAAACTCAGAGCATTCAGTCCCGCGCGCAAACGCTTAACCTCTGAACCACTAAGCCGCCATCCAATAGTGTTAATGTCCAATATCAACCAATCCACGAGCGGGATCTTGGATGCGCACTGTTGAGGAGTCCTACAATAGGACGAAACGGCTGTCCCATACTTTCAGGTTTTCAACGGTGGTCTAGCATCAATAGGTTCATGATCTCAATCAAAAACCTAATAATCTCCACAACCCTATAATAATGTTTGAATGTAACAGTGACACTGTACAACATAGGATCGAATCCCGAAAGGCACATCATCATCTATTCATAATAAAACAAAATTACTTTTTATTTCGTTCTTTCTTTTTTTCTTTTTTCTTTTTTTCTTCTTTTTCTTTTTCTTTTATTTGAATGGATAAATAAGAAAAATAAACAAGCATTAAGAATAATTTTTCTCTCTTTTTTTTGTTTATTTATTTTTATTCAAGGTCAATGATTAAAGAAAATTAAAAAGAAAAACAATTTTGCATTTCTTCTTTCTTTAAATGATTACGATTTATTTATTATTCAGTAGGGTGTAGGTTATATTATTGTTGTATATTCATTTAAAGAAATGAAGTCAGTAATGACTAACATTGGAAGGGAATACATAGAGTTCTAGTGAGAAGCCGTTGAAGAATATATGGCATTTTAAACCAATATCAACATCAGAAAGGGAAAGCAGAAGGACCTGACAACATACCAGTTGAAGCACTGAAGTCAGACATCAAAGTAACTACAAACATGTTTCACCTTCTATTCAAAAACATTTGGGAGGAGGAACAAGTGCCGATGGACTGGAAAGAAGGGCACCTCATCAAAATTCCAAAGAAAGGAGATTTGAACAAATGTGAAAACTACAGAGGCATTACACTACTGTCAATACCAGGGAAAATCTTTAACAGAGTGTTGCTGAACCGGATGAATGACCCAATAGACGCTCAACTTTAAGATCAACAAGGTGGATTCCATAAGGATCGATCGTGCACAGATCAAATCGCGACATTACGGGTCATCATCGAACATTCAGTTGAATGGAACTCGTCACTGTTGTATATTAGTTTAAAGAAATGTACTTACTAATTACTACGATTGTGAGGAAACACATAGAGTTCTAGTGAGAAGCCGTTGAAGAATATATGGAACTCAAAACAACTGTTTGCTAGTCAATATCAAAGTCACAATATTCAATATGAACATCAAGACAGTTAATTCTACTGTACGGATCTGAAACTTGCAAAACTATTACAAGCATCATTAAGTAGGTACAAATATTTACAAATGTATATGTCTACGCAAGATACTCAACATTCATTGGCCAGATACCATCAGCAACACAATTCTGTGGGAGAGAACAAACCAGCTTCCAGATGAAGAGGGAATTAGGAAAAGACGATGGAAATAGATAGGACATACATTACGCAAATCGTCAAACTGTATCACGAGTTAAGCCCTCACTTGGAATCGTGAAGGGAATCGAAAAATTGGAAAACCAAAGAACACATTAAGTCGGGAAATGGAATCAGACATGATACGGATGAATGGTAACTGAAAAGAGTTGGAAAAAATTGCTTGGGATTGGATTAGATGTAGAGTACTCGTGGTCGGTCTATACTTTTCGACCAGTGGTAACAGGCGTAAGTAAATAAATAAGTAAATAAGTAAGTAAAGAAGTAAGTAGGTAAGTAAGTAAGAGAAGGTGTGACCAGTGGAGTTAATCCATGTCAGACAGAGACAGGTATCTACCTCAGTACAATGGTAAATGGTTGCGAAATGTCGTGGATTGGTTGAGGTTAGACATTAACACTGTTGGATGCTGACTCAGTGGTTTACTGGTTAAGCGTCCTGGTTTAGAATCCCATTAACGGTATCGTGGATGCGCACTGCTGAGTAGTTCCATTGTAGGATAAAACAACTACCCAGTGCCACCAGGTTTTCAATGGTCATCTAACATTAATCGATCCATGATCTCAATAACAAATGAAAACTATCAAACTTTTCTTATTTCATTCAAAACATTTATAATTCTTTCATTTAACTAGAAATACATGGTGGCTAGATGTGAAATCGAGAAATCACATGTTGTTCTGTTTTGAACTCATCCATTGAATGTAACTACATCCCAGAGTTGATATTCAATCCGATTACAGTTAGCTACATTTACCTGACTCATTCTACTGCTAACCACTATCCCTCCCTGCTTACAATACTTAATGTTAATATCATAGTAATCTATACAGGGTATCCATATGTCACTAAGAGAATGCTGGATTACAATTCTAAGCATTAATTCGGAAGATCAAACACAACTGATATCCTTTTTGTTTAGATATGATCAACTGTCAAGGTCATCCATTTCATTATTGTTATTATTATTATTACTATTATACAATGAGAACAAACAAAATGGTATTAATTATTGATTTATTTAATCAGCTATGATTCGTTTGTTTGTTTGTTTGTTTCCATATTACCAATCAATTCATGTTACCTAGAGATACATTGTACTTAAATGAGATTCATTATATTGATTAATAAGAATGAAATTGTTTATGATGAAATATGAAAGTTATTCAACTTTGATTGATAGACAAATGATAGTGTTTAAAGCTAATGATACTGGGTTCGAGTTCCAGAGTGAATATCAACATTGGGATGCAATTACATTCAGTTGACGAGGACTAAATAGGACGAAACGCGCATCCTGGATTCCATTACCAGTCACTATTCATCTTTGCTTATAACGGATGCTTTTTAAACAAAGAAAATATTCCTGTATGAATAAATAAGCTGAAATTTGGGGAAGTGGATGTGTCAGATTACAATAAATGGACTATACATTTTCATGACATTCACTATTAAAAAAAACGTAAACTCGATTTATAACCATACTGTTTATATATGTGAGAAAGATCTAGATTACATAACATTCTTAAGTAAATGGAATGGGGTTCGAGCTTGTAACCCATCAACTCACCTAAAGTATTTACTAATCCAGTGTATTTACTAAACAATTATGAAAGGCTATATTGATGAATTGAATGAGTGGATTTTCAAATTATATCTGATTCTTAAACTTTTTATAATGAATACAATTTAATAGTTAAATTCATGAATCAATCTAAGCTAGACCATCATTGAAAAATTGGAAGTATTGGACGGCCGTTTCGTCCTAGAATGGAACTCCTCAACAGTGAACATCCACGATAACACACGTGGGATTCGAACACAGAACCTTCGATTTTGTGTGTGAATGATTAATCTCTAAAACCAAATGCTCAACCTATTCGAAATTATCAAATCAATGAACAAGAATATCATGTGATTGAATAAAACAATGAAATTACTTTATGATTGAGATCGTGTATCGATTGATGTTAGACCACTAGTGAAAACATGAAAGCACTAGACATCCATTTCATACTATTATACGACTCTACAGTAGTGTGCATCCACGATCCCGCGCTGCAAGTTTCGAACCCAGGACCAGTCAGTCTGCCACGCGAACACTTAACCTCTAGACCACTGAGCCGACATCCAATGGTATTAAGGTCTAACTTCAACCAACTGACAAAAATGAGCCATCGTCCACCATCGTCTTAAGTGAGTTACTATCTCACAACAGACCCGGTTAAACTCCATTGGTTCTCCTAGTGCTTTCAGGTTTTCCATGGTTGTCTATCTTCAATTGACTCATGAATTCAATTATTAAATTGCTACAATCTCCACAAGACCCCCCTCTAATTAAAATCAATGTAGGTTACCTGTCGTAATTAGATCTTCACAAGTGATCGACTATAAACTGTATTAACTAAGGTGATTTATAGAAATCTATGAACAGATCAAATAGGTCATGTTCTTAGTGTGATAGGAAATCAATCTGATAGTAATAACTAGTACATGTGAAATATTATGAAATGATTACACTTGAATATATTGATCAATAAATTATAAATCAGTTCAGAATTGATCTAATCTATGGATTGTGTTCATTATCGATCGGTTATAAGGAATAAGCTTTAGTAACGAGATAATACGAATCTACTTCTTAAACTCTCCACATATTTTTATCCTTTAAAGATGCCACAGCACATCAGCACTGAGAGGTACCAGAGTACTGAAAACGGTAATAATATCAGTAGTGGTAGCAGTAGTAGTAATAGCAGTAGTGGTAGCAGTAGTAGTAGTAGTAGTAGTAGTAGTAGTAGTAGTAGTAGTAGTAGTAGTAGTAGTAGTAGTAGTAGTAGTAGTAGTAGTAGTAGTAGTAGTAGTAGTAGTAGTAGTAGTAGTAGTAGTAGTAGTAGTAGTAGTAGTAGTAGTAGTAGTAGTAGTAGTAGTAGTAGTAGTAGTAGTAGTAGTAGTAGTAGTAGTAGTAGTAGTAGTAGTAGTAGTAGTAGTAGTAGTAGTAGTAGTAGTAGTAGTAGTAGTAGTAGTAGTAGTAGTAGTAGTAGTAGTAGTAGTAGTAGTAGTAGTAGTAGTAGTAGTAGTAGTAGTAGTAGTAGTAGTAGTAGTAGTAGTAGTAGTAGTAGTAGTAGTAGTAGTAGTAGTAGTAGTAGTAGTAGTAGTAGTAGTAGTAGTAGTAGTAGTAGTAGTAGTAGTAGTAGTAGTAGTAGTAGTAGTAGTAGTAGTAGTAGTAGTAGTAGTAGTAGTAGTAGTAGTAGTAGTAGTAGTAGTAGTAGTAGTAGTAGTAGTAGTAGTAGTAGTAGTAGTAGTAGTAGTAGTAGTAGTAGTAGTAGTAGTAGTAGTAGTAGTAGTAGTAGTAGTAGTAGTAGTAGTAGTAGTAGTAGTAGTAGTAGTAGTAGTAGTAGTAGTAGTAGTAGTAGTAGTAGTAGTATGAGACAGAATGAATATATCTAAGCTATTGTTGCTGACGTAAGTCATACCATGCTTAGTCTCCAAACATTTAACCACGATAATCGTATTCACTTGAACTAAGTATCCTGCACCTACCAACGTGACTCAGTCCAAAAGTTAATGATTTCATGAACTGGTACCACATCTTGGCTCAGTTCTTTCAACTTACTCTTATTCCGTCGAACATCACGCTTGGAGATAAAGTCAAAAATTTATTCTTTTTCTGTATTCTTTTCTGTATTCATCTAGACTTATATTTCATGTTCATTGACAATAATCGTAAAATAAAGTGGGGGTTTTTTTGTTGTTGAGATATACAAACCATTTAAAGTCAACTCATTGGTTTGAAGGTTAAGTGTTCAAGAATAGATTTCAACATTCTAAATTCTCTCCTTAGTTTGAATGCAAGTTTACACATCATGGAATAGTGATGGGGAGAAGATTTATAGCCGAAATGGATGATTTCAAATAGACGATGAAAGCTCCATAACCAAACTAACAAACTCAGAGAACGTAACTCCATCAAAAAAAAAAAAACAAGGGAATAGTACATTAGAACAAAACAACCAGTTGGTTTTACCTGATTTTCAGTAGTTCACCAAGTGAAATCAATTCATGATTAGAAATCTTTAATTATTAACCATTTTAATCATTGTCTGTGAAAGTTTAAAGTTTCTCAACATAAACTTTAATATTGGGTGTGTACATTTACATCCGTTTATTAAGTTCAGAATAAAACAAAAGAGAATAGGTGTTTTTCAATGGCCTGATAGTTTCTATCATCAACACCTTTTTAATTGTTTTTAAGGTTTAGGAAATTTTATGAATAGACTTATTAGTTTCTAATAATTTACAGTTTCAGTTTGGAAAGGATAGAAGGCTTGATGGCCTGTGTTATTCCTGACAATCGTGGTCTCTCAGTTGATTCAACTTTCTTTTGAAAGAGTCGATGGATGGAGCCTCAACCACGTGCTGACGTAATGAATTCCATTCGTTGATGATTCGATGGGAAAGTTGATAGTCAGCTGACAAGTAATTTGTTCTGGGTTTGTTAATGTTTTCGGAGTGTCCTCGGAAATTCTCTGTTTTGGAAGACAAGAAAAATGAGGGCGTATCATGTGCAAATTTATCACTAAGCAATTTGAAAACAGTAATCAAGTCGCCTCTAGTTCTCCAATATGACAACGAGAATAGGTTTAGCTTGGCCAGTCGAGCATCGTATGGTAGCTTCACTATTCCGGGAATCAGCTTAGTTGCCGTTCTCTGAACCTTTTCCAGAAGCTCACTGTCTTTTTGAGGCAGGGGCTGGCCGCTTGTATGCAGTACTCAAGTTTAGGACGTACGAACACTGTATATAAAGTCAAAAACGTTTTAGCGTCGACATGACTAAAAGCCCTACGTATTGACCATAAGGTTCTAAAACCTTTGGCGGCTATTGCACAGCAGCGTGCAGTAGTCTTCACGTCTTGGCTAACGATGACTCCTAAATCATTGTGTGTCTGGACAACAGGTAGCCCAGTGTCATTAATCATGTATGTATCTGTACCTTGATGACCGATATGCATCACAGTACACTTGGAAGTATTAATCGGCAACTGCCAGGTTTGAGACCACTCAGATAATTTCTTCAGGTCATTTTGGAGTTCTAAGCTATCACCCTTACATCGTATCGTTCTCCATATCTTGGCATAGTCAGCATATAGCAAGACCGATGATGTTAGGAGACGAGGAAGGTCATTTACACACAAGAAGAATAGCACTGGCCCCAAAACTGTACCCTGGGACACTCGAATAAACACACTTCTCAAGCTAGATAACTTTGAGTTCACCCGTACACTTTGTTGGCGCCGAACTAAGAAGTCTTTTATTCACATCAATAGATTGCCTCCGATTCCGACATTTCTTAGCTTATGTAACAGCCGGTTGTGCGGAACTTTTTCAAAAGCTTTGCTGAGACGTACATCTTGATGATAACTCCACCTGGAGCAGCTCTAGGACTACTGCCGGTCCCAAGCCCAAAGAGGGTTGGGCATAGGGTTAGAGATCCCATCCTGTAGAAAACTAACCAGCTAAAAAAACGCTAAGTACACCCTGATAATATTGTTTAAAGAACCAATGAAAGTTTCAAAACTAAATTATCCAGCTTGTAGGATATAATATCATCGAATTCCTCTGCGTAAGCCTCCAATTCCCGACTCAATGTGTTGTTTAACCTGTCTTTCCCTCTTTTTACTTTGAGTATTCCAAGCTAGGGCATACTATATGATGCAGTTTGATTATTTCTACAGTGTGTGACCTATTTACCTCTATTGTCATTTGTTAATTTCCTCCTCAGCTCGAACCTGATTTGTACTCTGTCATGATAGGTTATTGCTGATTGTATCTTGAGCAAGCAACTGTTTACAAATATCTGTTCCCTTTTGATCATGGTCCTAATAGCGGTCCAATTTTTAGCTCCGTACAACAGAACTATCTTGACGTCTGTATAGGAAATTCTGACTCTTCTTGAAACCCTTCTATGGTTACTCCCCGTCCCAAGCCCGGTTAAAGGAAGAAGGCTGGGTATGAGATTAGCAACCATGTCCCGTAGAAAAGAAAGTTGCTAAAGAAAAAAAGGCAATGATTGTAAAAGGAATGTATATATCCATCTTTTTTTATTCTTGGTGTAGTACAACAGCTATTTAATACCACCATAAATATTTATCGCAGTTTGAATATAGTTTACTTTAATTGAACTTTAATATTCTGTAGAATCCCAGGAATCCTTCTCCAAGTCATTTAGTAATGAGTACAAGATTATAGGGATTATTTAACTTCAGATTAGTTTACATTATCAAGTGAAATCAACTAAGGGGAGTCATTCACATGCATAATTCCTTCAACATTACAGATACACATTGCTAACGAGTGTCAAATAGCACGAAACCTGAGTTCAGGAATTCCTGTTAACTACCTGTAACCACCATCTTATCTCAACATAGTGCATGCAATGTCGAATCACCTAAACTAATGACTACATTGTAACTTGTTCGATAACACTAAGAAGAACTTGATACATATGATATTCATCACCACCCAGTGATCAATTAATTGTGTATTTACATACGCTTTCAAAGAGTCAAACTCATACATATCAACTCATAATGAAATCAGGCTTCAATCGAAGTTAAAGTCATACTTTTACACTACTATAAAGAGTCTTATACTGTTTCAAAACATTCAAAATTCAATAGTATCATAAATGAAATGGATTCATAACTAATGACAACTATAACTTAGTACTATTATATTAATCGCAATGATTATCATATTGATAACAGTGAACTTATATTCAATTGAGTTATAACATTGTTTGTTTGTTTTGTTCTATTCACTTGGTCTATTCATTTATTCATGATGTCAATTCATGGTATACAAACTCTATACTAATATCATTAGTTTAGGGGTTGTGGAGATTGTTAAGTTTTTTTTTATTGAGATCATGAACCGATTGATATTAGACCACTATTCAAAACCTGGAAGCACTGGACGGTCGTTTCGTCTTATTGTGGGACTCCTCAGCAGTGCGCATCCACGATCCCGCTCGCGGGATTCGAAGCCAGGGCCTTCAGTCTCGCGCACGAACGCTTAACCTACTGGACCCCTGAGCCGGCATCCAATGGTGTTAATGTCTAACCTCAACCAATCCACGAAGTTACGCGACCATCTTTCATTTTACTGAGCTAATCCGTGTCGGATAGAAACAGGTACAATGGAAGATGGTCGCGCAACTTCGTCTATACTAATATCATACGTTTCAATGAATTCATTCTTCTGTAGTTATATTCACATATACAAATATAGATATACATCGGTATACATCATATGTGAAGAGAATACCTTGATACAAACATTTGATGATACTATTAGTGATTTTTATTAGAAAATATTAACTTAGTAAGTAAAGGTCGATAGTGGCTAATAGTGAAAATCAGGATGTTGGTTTCGTCTTATTTGAGACCCATCAACTGGATGTAAAATACATCTCAGAGTTCATGTTAATTGTAGGACTCGAATCCAGTATCATTCGCTTCAAACATTATCATGTTATCCACTTAGCTACTGAGTTCTGATAACCACTAATTTATGCAATAGAGTGAAGTTTAGATTGTTGGATTCCACTATTGCCCACTATCCATCTTTGCTTAGAATCCTTATGACTTAAGACAATGTCGAGATAATCCACACAATATGCATCTATGCCAACAAGAGACTGATGATCAATTACAGGCCTAAACATCAATGAGACGATTGAAATAAATAATACCAAATGAATATTACCTTAATAGTATCAGATCAAACGTACAATAACATTTATGTCATGAATAATATTCACATTTACCATTGGGAAACTTATACATTTTACATTTGTTCATTAACATATAGAAATCAATTCAATGATGAATGATTTCGTGTGATCTTTTGTTTTCTTCCGTCTGTGGATATGCGTTTGTGTGTATGCGTGTGTGTGTGTAGCAGATGGAATTGAGGTTGGGTTGACTATGTTGTTGGTTCTTTCTGTCGTCAAAGTTTCACATTCACACATATTCATATCATATTAATCTAGACGAAAAGCATTAAAAATGAGGAGAGAAAAAAAAACCAAGACAATTCTCTTTCCCACTAAGAAACACATGAGATAAACAATAAAATAAATAAAGTTAAATGGGATTCTACAATATTCATGATAATAATAAAGCTAGAAATAGCTTTCATCAAGATGTAACATCATTAGTAGTAGTAGTAGTAGTAGTAGTAGTAGTAGTAGTAGTAGTAGTAGTAGTAGTAGTAGTAGTAGTAGTGTTGGTAGTAGTAGTAGTAGTAGTAGTAGTAGTAGTAGTGTTGGTAGTAGTAGTAGTAGTAGTAGTAGTAGTGTTGGTAGTAGTAGTAGTAGTAGTAGTAGTAGTAGTAGTAGTAGTAGTAGTAGTAGTAGTAGTAGTAGTAGTAGTAGTAGTAGTAGTAGTAGTAGTAGAAGTAGTATTAATAGT